CCTCATATATCAAGATGTGCTATGATGCTTTTGTCTTTTCAGGGCATGCAAGATGATAGTGATTTTTACTATCTTGGTGTTATTTGTGGAATGGCGCTCTACAACCATCATTATATAAACCTTGACTTCCCACTGGCCTTGTACAAGAAACTCCTCCAGCTGAGTCCCACTCTGAATGATCTGGAGGATCTGTCTCCTGTGGAGGCCAGGTAAACAATGAAAAACTACAAGACATTCGATTTTATACATTGTAGGTTTCACACTACCTTTACAGAGCAGGTCATATCCATAATTGTATTTTAAAAATCTCACATTAGAAGTCTGAAGAGCCTTCTTGAGGAGGACGAGGACGAGGTAGTGGACATGCTCTTTTTGGATTTCACGGTAATACAGTTTCTATGGTTCATTTGTATCAGTGTACAAAGCTGTTATTTTAAAACTTACATTTGTGCTGTTATTTACCTCTTTCAGGTCAAAGGGCAAGAGCTCATTCCAAATGGAAATCAAATTCCAGTGACCAAATCTAATAGGTAGAAACTGTTTGCTCTTCTTGTGTAATTGTCTATCTATCTATCTATCTATCTATCTATCTATCTATCTATCTATCTATCTATCTATCTATCTATCTATCTATCTATCTATCTGTCTATCTATCTATCTATCTGTCTATCTATCTATCTATCTGTCTGTCTATCTATCTGTCTGTCTGTCTGTCTGTCTGTCTCTGCCTATCTCAACTCTTCAAACTCTTAGGCACGGTTTCACAGACAGGGCTTAGACTAAGCCAGGATTAGGCCATAGCTCAATTAGGACATTTAAGTAATTTTTATTAACATGCCTTAGAAAAAACATTACTTGTGTGCATCTTGAGACAAAACAAAGGCACTGATATATTTCAAGATCAGTCAGTGCGAGTTTCTTTATGTTAAAATAGCTCAGATTTACACTTTAGTCTGGGACTAGGCTTAAGCCTTGTCTGTGAAACCGGGTGTCTGTCTGTCTGTCTGTCTGTCTGTCTGTCTGTCTGTCTCTGCCTATCTCAACTCTTCAAACTCTTAGGCCCGGTTTCACAGACAGGGCTTAGACTAAGCCAGGATTAGGCCATAGCTCAATTAGGACATTTAAGTAATTTTTATTAACATGCCTTAGAAAAAACATTACTTGTGTGCATCTTGAGACAAAACAAAGGCACTGATATATTTCAAGATCAGTCAGTGCGAGTTTCTTTATGTTAAAATAGCTCAGATTTACACTTTAGTCTGGGACTAGGCTTAAGTCTTGTCTGTGAAACCGGGGGTTAATATCTTTGACTCTTTCAATCAAGCTTGTCTTGATAAAACATTCCTTTTTCTATATGTCCTTGTGATGTTATACAGTTTTTCAAAGTCGCTTTGGTACATTTTTCAGATCAGAATTAAAATTCTCAAAATTACTTGTTCAACCTCCACATCATCTAGTCACTTGTGCAAATCATAAAAGCAATTTCTCATTCTTTTAAACAAATTGCGAATGCTTTTGTACATTCATGCGATTGATTATATACAATCGTCTGCTGTTTACTACATTATCAGTTGCTTATATCATGTTGATCAAAATATATTATACTAGTTCTCTGTTGAATAGTCTTACCCCCCAAAACATATCTTTGACTCTTTCAATCAAGCTTGTCTTGATAAAACGTTCCTTTTTCTATATGTCCTTGTGATGTTATACAGTTTTTCAAAGTCGCTTTGGTACATTTTTCAGATCAGAATTAAAATTCTCAAAATTACTTGTTCAACCTCCACATCATCTAGTCACTTGTGCAAATCATAAAAGCAATTTCTCATTCTTTTAAACAAATTGCGAATGCTTTTGTACATTCATGCGATTGATTATATACAATCGTCTGCTGTTTACTACATTATCAGTTGCTTATATCATGTTGATCAAAATATATTATACTAGTTCTCTGTTGAATAGTCTTACCCCCCAAAACATCTTGGCAATAGTTCATTGCTTAAGCCAGTCAATGCAGTTGTCATAATCTGTCAATCATATTTTCCATTAGACTGGCACTTAGAAAAAATTAGAAAATGTGCCAGTGAATCTTAAATTTTACTAATGACGGGGAATGTAAGACGTTAGATCAACCAGTGATCAACCAGTTCTCTAAAAGGGTAGGTGAAAGGGTAGGGAGGCAGAGAAAGGAGGAGAAGAGGCAGAGGATGTAGCCACGTTTTCGATGAAAAAAAGGGCCACTATAGTGGACCTTGATCTCAGTCATAACCTCACAATTGCTGAGGCAGGTTAAAAGATGCAGCCGAATATTGGGAGAACAACCGTGTCCTCAATCATTCAAACATTTGTACACAGTAGTAGAGGTATGTAATGTAATCAAACTATGCGCACTGTACTGTAATACTGTATACATACTGTAATGCTCCATATTACTGTAGTCCACTTGCATTTTATATAGTAAATATACTTTATACAGATACACACATGCATATATATATAGATCCCACAAACAGTTATGTGTACATTTGTACTATTGTTATATCATACAGGAAAAGTGCATTTTCATTCTATGTCATCAAAACCGTAGCCATAGTTCACATCAGGAAATACTGACAGTGTACACTGTTATAGTGATGTATATAGAGATGGCACTGATATGTTCATTGACATAAATACTTACTTTTGAGAGATCAACTTGATGGATTTTGAGCAAGTTACAGGCTTTTGCAAGTAATCCATTGTGTGGTTCTGTTTGTATGAATTGTTTCGAGAAATGCATTTACTGGTTTGCAGATATTAGGAATCAAACATTCAAAAAATGTACTAAAGCGACTGAGGAAAACTGTAATATACTTCAATGAATTATCCATTACTTCTGAACGGATATTACATGAAAAGACAACATAAAACAAGGAATTTAGCCTATAGGTGCTGTAGATGTTCCCTGTTTTGCAGTGCTACAGTAGATTTCTTTATCTTTTATTGCAAAGTAAGAACACTGGTTTTTTTTTTGCAGACAGAAGTATTTGGATTTGTATGTCGACTTTGTTTTCAACAAGTCAGTGAAGAATCAGTTTGAGCATTTTTCAAGAGGTTTCTTTAAGGGCTGCCCGCTCGATTTCTGGAGCATGTTCCACCCCGAGGAACTCCAGGGGCTTCTCCACGGCTCCCCTAAATACGAGTGGAAGGAGCTTCAGCAGGTAAAAGTGTTCGAGAAACTTGCCAATTTGCAACAAGAACATTTTAAATATTTGACAGTACCTGAGTTTTTTCTGCTTCATCTTCAGTGTGCTTCCTATGAAAAGTGTTCTGCCTCTGATGAGCTCATCAAGAACTTCTGGACTGTTTTCTTTGAGTTCACTGAGGAGAACAAGAGGAAATTTCTGAGTAAGTGTTATCTTGAACTTATGAATGTCTTGATGCATCTACGTCACATGCACATTTAGGGAATATCACTATTATTGCCTCACATTATTCATTTTTCTCTAGTTTTCATGTATGGAACGGACCGTGTCTCTGTGGAAGGTTTCTCAAAGCGCTCTCTGAAGATTTCACAGTCAGACTGTCCTGATGCAGAAGACCGACTGCCAGAGGCCCAGACCTGTTTCGGCAAATTAATTCTTCCCAAATACAGCGATATCAACACACTTCGTGACAAGCTAATGCACGCAATCAGCTTTTGTGAGGTTTTTGGACGAGGGTGAACTTCCCTCGAGGTTCTGTTGTGGATTTTTCTTGGGTGCGGCCAATGAAGTGGAGGAGCAGAGTTCCAGATGTCAAAATAAGACTTTATTTAACAAAGAAATAAAGCCGGGAAGACAGTCACATCATTCCAAATCATTCCAAAGTCTTTGTTTGTCAACTCATATTATATACCCCTTGTTCTCTCCAAATTTGGTCATTTTCTGTTTTTTCTTTGTTCCGGTTATTTTTTATTGGTTATAGATACCTGATTTGCCACAATTGTTTCCAACTCTTTTGGCCTTGTTTTCTAATTGGTTGGTAGTGTGGTCATACTAGATGTGTGTCAAATGTATCTACTTGCTTTCGTTTTGCCACCTTCCATTGGTTGGTAATGTGGTCATACGAGATGTGTGCGTCACATCCATCCACCTGTTCCTGATAATATTAGATTATTTCATGTTTACGTCTGCTGTCTACTGAAAGGTCCATTGTCTAATGGAAGAAACGACCATTATACGTGTTCATAATAATGTTACATTATTTCAAGCTCACTGGTGTACTGTCTAATGAAAGATTCACTGTCTAATGAAAAGACTATTATTCATTCTATGACATCCAGGGTTAACATAATTCAGCATATTAACTTATATATTGATTACTTTCATTTTCACATAATACTTCAATAAAATTACACAATAGTTCCCAACCCCAAAATATAGGCTATGCAGTCACAGATTTGCCATATAGGTGCAACACAGATCACTCTCGTTGGGAGCAAAACATTTTGATTAATGTTGTCACATTATTTATGTAGATCTATATAGTTATTATAGTAAATATTTGTAAATAAAACACAGTAAGAGAGCTATATTCTATTGTTTGCACTACTTTGTTATTTGGCACTTTTATCTCTATATTATAAAATATATATTTTGGTATGTCATCTCATAACCTTAATATTTGTCCTGTTATTCGGTGTTTAAATAAAAAGACATTCTCCTAAATACTTCTCATATTATATATCTTTTAAGTTATATTTATCATATCAGACATGGAACAAAAAAGGCAACAGAACTGGAAAAAGTGTTTGTACCAAGTCATTATTTTGATTTTATATGAAGCAGAGACATGAGACAAAATTCAAACTCAACCAGTTTTCTCACAATTTTTTTGTGATTTTATGCTACATGCAATACCAGTTTTTATCCAGCAGACTGTTTTCAAGTGGCGCTCCTTCACTCTGTTTGGTTCACAGGTTTGAGCTAATTATCAGCAGGTGTTTCTTGTCACACTGTTACTACAAATGTCCTCCCAGCACTTTAACCACATTGAGATGGATGGACAGCCTCAGAAAAGTAATGAAGCACAGAAACGGTAGTAGGAAATTTCAGAGGATGTGGCTGAACTGGCTTCTGCTTGTTTTTCTCAACACTGCTCATTCAGTGAACTCATTCTCTTTTGAAGCTGATGACACTGATCCAGAGGCAGAATGGGACTCGATGGAAAGTTTAACATTAAGCGTAGATGAATATGACCGTGATTTGTTTATGCCAAAAACCAAAAGGCTCTTAAACACGATCCGTCCGCTAAAACTACCGGCGTCGGTACGAATTCCAGCGGATGAACTCTACAAGGAGCATTTCACCCCTGAAAAGGGTGGTAAACCGATGCCTCCGCTAGTCAAGTCAATACTTCTTCCCGCAGCACCTACCGCGATATCCGGTACTCCGGTCTCCGGTGCGCCGAAGATTGTGGAGGTTTTGTGTTACCTGGACCGGATGTACGTGAGAGTCCTGAAGAGGTTTTGTACCAGTCCCGGCGCGTGGACGCACCTGAAACTGGGAACGTGTGCTGTTAATAAAGCCACGGACACTCACTATTATCTTCTGTACTCTCTGAAAGAATGTGGCGTAAAACGAGAGGTGGGTGACTATATGACCACCTACACACTGTAGCTAAATTAGGCTATCATTTCACTTTCAAGTGCTTAATCCTGTTGTGTGTACATAGTTCAGTAGTTTAGGGGCTTGACAGCCGCCTTCTACAACCGAACCGCGGTTAATGACGTATTTAAAGCTGCAGTCCATACTTTTTTTTTTTTTTAATTATCCAAAATCCATTTGAGCAAGTACTTAACCAGCCAGTGTTCAAAACTATCGCCTTACTTTAGCCCGATTCACAACGGTAAGCTTGTAATAAAGTTTTCAAATTTGAGCGGTATGGGTATTTGCGGGAAATTTGACCATGGCGCTGTGTCATTACGTCACGTCTGTAAACAAAGTTGTCCGGCTAGTATGCTATATCGCAGGTGAGGGTACTGCAGGTGACGGATCGTTTAGCCTTTTCTCACAGCAGCTGGAATAAATGGTGGATTGTAATCAGGGGCGTGATGTCATGCACTCATGATTTGAGGGGGCAGGTGGGGGCGCTCGTCATGCTTATGTGACCCAGTAGCCACAATATAACTGATGGGTTTTTTTTTTTATTTGAAATATTTCCAAACGTGTTTAACTACATCAGGAAATATCTCGATTGTCAAACCCGTGTAAGTAAATGCATCTTGCACTAGATTATTTGATCTATAATGGGCCAGGGGCAAAGTAGAGTACTAGTGTAATCTATTAACTGCACATAAAACCCCCACTTAAGTACCAGATATGGGTGTCAGGCCATAAAATATTTTTAATACGACTGACTTTGTTTAATGTGAGTTTAATAACAATATTGTAAGTTACTAACATTTGCATTTTACAGAGAGTAAAGAATTTACATTATCAAAGAACATTTTCACTTCAGTCTAACCAGAGTTCAGACGATCTCAAACTCCCATTTAAATCCCTGAAGCGGTTTACACTGTGAAATGAATATCTTACTTGCATTCGTACGCAAATCTGCACTTTGTTTATAATTCAGTCAGCGAGCAAGTGAACAAAACACAGCGTTTCAGCAATGACTCATCTGAACGCTTCTGATTGTTAATTGCGTTCATAAGCTCAACAGGATCGTGTGTGATTGGTTATAATGCAGCGCTGTACAAACATGTCAGATTTGAATTTAGCAGCTGATGCTGTGCCGCACTGAACGATCGAATCACACCGGTGCGATTGCATCAAATATAAAAAAGTATTATGCCATTTTATTTTTGTCTTTTGGAAACTGCATTCTAAATCCACTTGGCTCAGAAATCTGAGGGGGCACGTGCCCCCTCACTTGGAATGGGCATGAGGCCTCTGATTGTAATCCAGTAAGGTCGAAACGATGATCATCAATGACTGGAGATTCACCCATAGTCAAATTTAAATCTACAGGTAAGGCTAATACACGCACTCACGCAATGCTGATGTTATTAATGTCAACAATTCAAAAAAAGTATAAAAATGATAATTGGCACAATTTGATGTGATATGAGCTAACAGATTGTTAGATTTAATCACCATTGATAGCGCAATTTGTCATGCTTTTTTCCTCAGTTGATTTGAACAAAAGTGGCAGTTGTTACTTACCTGTTCAGATGACGTTCTCCAGTGAAAACTCGTGTTTGGGTCATACTTTCAAGATGTACTAATCTGTGAATACAAAGTGCAGTATCTGCAGACTGATGGCCACATTAGATTCATCCGCGCTTGAGCCGTGCCGGTGCACAACCCACACAAGGAAGATAATTTTGCAAGTAGGTGCAATTGCAGGCTTTCAAACAGAGATGGTGACAAAGAGGCAAGACTTGCGGACTGCAGCTTTAAATTCGCATCAGATGTGAACAAGATGCCTCTTTAGAAGGTAGTTTGGTTAAAATTGCAGAACACAACGAGTCTATGGTTGCTGTAACCTTAATTATGTCAAATAGCGGATACCAGCGTTGCCTTGATTACCACGGTGTCAATTTCGAGAGAGAGTTGTTTACATGCACGGAACGATAATCTAGGGGATTCACTCACGTAAGCTACATGGTTCAATGCGGTGTCACTCCTGAGTCTTTACAGCGTGTACGTGGCCTTTTGGTGACATGTTTAATTTCAGGAGGATGCCAATCGAGTGACTTACATGAACACACTCCACTATACACCAGCTGTCACCGGGTTGATTGTGAGGGACCTGCCATTTTCGATGCCTATTCGTTGTAGCTACACAAAGTAAAGTGGTTTTTCATTTCTGTGACATGATTTTAAATGCTAAATTCAAGGTTTCATTGGCTTTTTATTTTTTTTTACATTTGAAGGTTCCATCGCTCTTATCAGGTTGGATTCCTACCCAAGATAGCAGGTGGAACCATTTACAGGGCCCTACAAACTCAAGCAGGGTTCTCCATTATGGCAATGGACGGTATATTATATTTTGTTTTATAACACAAATGCATAGTTTGAGTGGTTAATAAAATAAGCTCCACGTTACTGGGTTTAAGTTCTCCAAGATTGGCCTCATTTTCATCCTCGTTTGTTTGAGGGACTTGGCAAATGTATTGTTTGTGATCTGCATTATGCCACATTCTGTTGATTGAGATTAATTTATACTGCACTAAAAATATTATTTTTAAGTGTAAACTGGTTTGTGGTTTCAGCATCTTGGCGCTTGCTTGTTGATGGCCAGAGTTTTGTCCTTGGCAAACCCATATGCTTTGAAGCCAAAGGCCCCAGTGATGCAAACAAACGTCTGTACCTGAACCGTTGTTTTGTCAGTCCCACTCCAAACCCTCAGTCGATGGAGAAATATTCTGTGGTGGAGAATTATGGGTAAATATGATCTTTTCATGCTGATTTATTAAAGAAATCAACTTGAATGGCTTTCCACAATTTAAGTGTCACTGGGTTAAGTTTGACTAGCTTAGATTTACTTGGGTCACTGTATTAAAGTCCACATTAAATCAGGACCACACGAAATGAATTCCCCTTTTTTTTTTTTTTTTTTTTTTCTCCCCCCCCCCACCAAAATTAGCAAGTGACGACGATCCAAAAAGTTACAGATGGATAAATCAAATCCTTCCTTTTCCCCCTTCTCATTATACAAGAAGACTGCATCACAATGGAGAAGACATGACCATAATTTTTTTTTATTATCATCTCTGTGTAGATGCCTGGTGGACAGCAAGAACAGCATTCTGACGAAGTTCCACACCAGTGTTAACAAGATGACTGTGAGGCTTTGCGTTGCAGCTTTTCTGTTTAAAAACATGGTTTCTCTGCCACAGTCCAAAAAGGTAAAAACATGAAGCATTTATGAAACATCTTAATGAATTCCTGGTTTGTTTGACCTTATTTTATTTTTTTTGTATTATGTTTAACTCCTCTCTTCCCTTTGTAGACCATGTTTATGCATTGTGAGTTGGACTTTGGACCACAGACTCCTACACCAACTGCCAAGTCTTGCACGTACAATGCAAAAACCAAGATGTGAGTTAAGCCCATAAGGAGCAGAAATGTACTCCCAAAATTTCTGCTCTAATGGTTATATCCCCTTTGCATATTCTATTAAACTGTTTGCGTGCGTTTTTATTAATTTTTAAATGTATAAAGTGTTCAGTTCATCTATCCCAGTCTGAGAGTATAGTAATTGTAGATGTTTGTGTGCTTTAGGTGGACTGAGCTATATGGCGACGCCACTGTCTGCGACTGTTGTTCATCTACATGTCCTACTTCTCAACTACCATCTGGTCTGTACAAATGGATTTATTTCCTAAATGAAATTGTTTTATTTACCCAAATTTCTTCCTTGCTGACCAAGTTTGTTTCTATCAGATAAGAAAATGATCACCAGTGAGTCTTGGGACTTGAAGATGCGCCCGGAAACCTCATCAACTCCTTCACCAGAGTCCATGCCTGCATTTTCTTTATCTGACCATGATGACTTTGAGTTGTTCTGGGAATCAGATGATTACTAGGAGGATGTTTGTTTTTGTTTTTTACAGAACGCAGATGTCTTAAGGACTCTAAAGTGCCAATTTTGTGGTTATGCCTTGTGAAGTTAATGTGATAAACTGAAGTTACAAATACTTTTGTCTTTTTACATTTGTCACCCATGGAGTGAATGCATTATGAAATGTAAATGAACAGCTGATCAAAAGTACATCTACACATTTCTGGCACAGTATCAAAATTAAGATTTTATTTATTTTTTTTATAGAAGGTTTCTCATTGACCCATGTTCATACACCAACACTGGCATATTTCTAATCATCTCCAGTAGGTGTCTATTTGTTTTTAAGTACAACGCTTCATTTGACAATGGCAGAAACAAGTTAACTGGTTTTCCCACTCTGAACTCTTCTGGAAATCCAATCTCACTAGGAATGAGACGGTTCCCAACCAGAGCATGGTTAAGTGACTTAGCTTTGACTTTTTGCTGTAAGAATGTCAGCAGATCATTAAGCCTGCAAGCCATCTGCTCAGGATCCCAAGATGAGGGTTTGTTGACCAGAAGATGTAACAGTGCGTTCTTCAAGTGGAAGCTTGTTAGTCCACATGGTCCAGTTAGGCCAGTTTGGTGTTTGTGTAGGAATGAAAGTATTTGTAGACAATGAATATGGCATGCGTTGTTCGGAAGTGAATTGGTTATGCGTTGAAGAAGGGCATTTTCATAACGTGTAAAACATACAGGCCAATGGGTGTCAGAAAAAATGGCGGAAGGAAGATATGGGGTCAGATGTACCTTAGAGTCTTTAAATCTGACTACAGGTGTGAGTTTGAACCAAATTACTCTCCCTGACCTGAACCGGACTTTGAGACTTCCAGGGTTTTCCCTATTCTGGAATATTAGCTCAAACTCATACTTGTGGCTGATCTCATCCCATGCTATCCTAATAGCTGTCTTAAACCACTTCACAACATGTGTTTCAGCAAGATATGAGCTGTTCTCTTGGCATAGAAGGTCATTTATGTTGCTTTCAGTCACATGAACTTCTTTTTTTATCTGGATGTATAAGACACAACGTATCGTCATCATCTAGGTTGGAATTGCTGCAAGGACAGATGGCTAAACTGGCGTTGCCTTTGGTCATCTTGACTCTGCAACAGTACTGGATGGTTGAAGAACCTCTACTTTCTTTCAAAAGCTCAAACTCGAAACTATAAGGCTTTGGAGGGACGATGGGTACATGGATGTCACACACGACGCTCTTTCTTGAAGCCCATTGCTCGTATAAGCTGCCAACGCCAACAAAGTCCTCAATCTCCATGTCTGAACCTTTAGCCCTCACAGCTTCAAGCAGGTCGTTCACAAAACCCTCCACAAACTCACAAGTTTGCCAACTGTGACTGGGTTGAACCAGGACACACTGGTTATGGAAGCTAGTTAAGGTCTTGGAATCAAGATCAGAAACCTTGGAGACGTTCAAGCATCTTGGTGTGTTCCTTTGCGACCTGGAACCCTTTCTGAGGAACTTTTTTAAAATACGATAAAATGAAATCAAGGAGAGTGTCTTCCAAAGGTACCAACTGTAGGTGTCCTCTTGGTCACTAGATTGTTTTCCTTGAGTTATCATTGTCAACCTTTGACTTGAAGTTGCTATTTTTTGGTCGATGAGTAATCCCTGATCAGCTTGATGTTCATGATGGATGTCAGTCCGGTCAGCTTGTGGCTTTTCTGGCTGTGCCGCATCCCCCTGAGAGACATTCTGGTCCACAGTGGGCCCTGACTGGTCCACACTGACATGCTCTTGTGTTAGGCCTTCCTTTGGCATATGCAATGTCCGTTTGTCTGTGTCAATATCCAATATTTCCTGGTCATCTGGTGCAAATGCCTTTTGGCGGAAGTCATTTTGCTCTCCCACTGGGGACATTTGCTCCTCGTGCAGCACTGTGGTCTTGACATTTGGCGTAATTTGTTGAACATCTGACGTGTCCCCCTCTCCTTTCGGCACCCTGCGAAGACTTTGTGACTCTTCCCAATTTGAATGTGGCAGCTCCATGGCAACATCATGCTCCCCTTGTTCTAGCTTTGCCCCCTCCTCTATGAGAAAGTGCTCATGTTCTTGCATGCTCACCATGATGTTGTCATCTTGGTTGTGAAAGACATTGTGGTCCTTTGAGAGGAGCAGACTGACAACCACGACAAACACGTTTAGTAATGTGTCCTCCATCCTGTGAGTGAAAAAAAAAGTTACTTCCTGCTCACAAAGCTGTATTTTCTGTATTAAAATATTTGAAAATCTATAACCCGCATTATTAGCAATAAAGAGTTAACTGTTTGAGTATTGAATTGCTTTTGAAATATATTACTGCTTTTAATGTTCTGGTAGCACTTGTGTCCGTCATTCTGAAATATTTAATTTACGTTATCCAATATTGCTTGATGGATATTTTATATATACGATTAAATAACTTACCTTTCAGAACCTGAACTTTAGGCACAGAAAACAGAGTCTCTCGGTGTAAAGCCGAAAGTATAAATTGGCTGAAAATGTTTTTGCAGAGCTCAGTTCGGTTTTTTGTTTCTCACACAGGATGTACCCTGTCAGAGTTTGAGTTTGACAGCACACTTCCTGAACACTGTGCTGTCGTACAACCCTTCCTCTTTTTTAAAATAGTACACCAGTGACACACCTCTACATGCAATGATATATGCAGGTTTGTCCAGTTGCTGTGTATGGACCATAAGATAAAATGTGAATCATTCCGTAGTCAAAATGAACCTTTTTTGTATGTAGCCTATTATTAGTGGTGCTTTTTAAGCTATTAATTCCAGAACTTTTAGAACTTACTTTAGACTTCACTTTGAACACTCAAATAATTATGATCCTTTAGCTGTCATCCTTTTAAAAAAATAGGGTTTAATTTAATGCTGTTATGGTGTTGCACTGAGTTTATGAATGAATCTCCAGTAAATCATTTAAAGCTGCAGTCTGTAACTTTTTTTGGTTAAAAATGATCCGAAATCAATATTTGAGCAAGTACATAACCAGCCAGTGTTCAAAACTATCGCCTTACTTTAGCCCGATTCACAACGGTTAGCTTATAATAATTGTGATTGCGAAGTACAGTAAATATCCACACCGGTGCGGTGAATGACTGCCACACATACTCTTCAGAACATTAGATTCATCCGAGCCGAAGCTGTGCCGACTCACAACCCACACAAGCTAGATAATTCTGCACACAGCTGCAATTCCAGGTTTTCAAACAGAGATGGCGACAAAGAGGCAAAACTTACGGACTGCAGCTTTAAAGACTCATGATAGTCCAGCAGACTCACTGTCGCCACCTACAGGTATAAAGATGAAGTGGTGATCAAATGTGAACGAGAGAACCTTTTTGGTGAACAGATTTGAATCACTGAGGGGAATCAAAATCCCACTAATAATATTTTCTGGGATGTGTTGTAGTTTGATAATCAAGGTAATGAACACAGCCTTTGTCAAGTCAGAGTTAAAGAGGTATCAACTCTATAATGCACTCTCAGATCAAACTTACAGCACCCTGGCAAACTACAACACACTGGCATTGTGGTCACGACTTTGCCATGGTTTAGCACCAGTCACCTTTCCTTAAAGGTGCAGTATGTAAGTTTTTGATTCTACTAAAGCATAAAAATAGCATAATATGTTTGCAGATATTTAAGAAGCATGCTAAGTTAACATACTTGTTTATCTGAAAAACAATGCTACCATCAGTTATTCTCCTTTGAAAATGTGCGTTCCGGGCCGGAATGTCGGTCTCTGTTTTGGTTTGTGAAACCAGCCCACTGCCAGTTTACCCAATTGTATTTCGTCATCCCGGGTTGCCAGTTGGTGGAAAACATAGAGTATTTCATTCCATTCATCGTCAAGTGCGCTCGTTCCTGTTGGTATCATCAATCTGGCAACCTTAATCTGTGCATCAAGTCTGAGGAGGAGGGGCCGGGTGAAAAAAACCCTCTCCAATATTTTGAATTTGGACTGCAATACCTAGTTCAACCAGTCGGTGTCAAAACTACATACAGCACCTTTAAAAAAAAGTAGAATTGTTTTTAAATTGACACAAATCTCTATATCTTGACTTTACGGTCAAAATTTATTTTGTTTGCCATATTTCATTAGCATTTGGATGCATATATTCTGCTACATTGTACTGCGTACAGACTAGCTAGTAGGCCTACATACATACTGTATTGCTAGCCGTGAGTTTTAAGATTTTTTTCAAGGACATATGGTTGAGTTAATCATAATTGTAAATGATTCAAAAGTTTTCCACCTACAGTACCTGGAATCCCACAGAAGATTAAATTTGAATAGGGAGAGGCAATACCTTTGCATGTGCTCTGCCTGTTACCATGGTATCACCAGTTATGTAAATACATGCAATCTACTATATATACACTATGATAAAATACAAAGATATATTTTTGCATTAAAACTGAAATCATGATGTTTGCAAGGACAAAATTACAAACAGACGGAAGATTCAACAGATTCACATTTCCACCTAAGAGCTGAGAATCTTTTGCATCACATGGAAGAAGGTGTGTATGTTGTTTTGTGTGTCAGAGAGAGATAGTATGAGGGCTGAAACAGGTAACAAATCCTTTGCTTCGACAGGTGGATGAATATTTGGGAACACATTGCAAAATTCTGTAAGTAGACAGATTTGTCTTTTGAGCGTTTTGCTGTACGTAGCTGGAGCGTAGTTAGTGAACTGTGTTGTGACCCAATGGGTCTAATTATGTATAATTCATCAGTGCACATTATTCTAAAGAAAAAAAATGTTTTAGTAGTTGTCTAAAAGTCACTGCAAACACACATTTTGGTAACACTTTACAATAAGGTCTGATTGGTTAACATTAGTTAATGCAGTAACTAACATGAACTAACAGTGAGCAATGTATATTTACAGCATTTATTAACCTAATAATGTTAGTTAAAAAACAATCACGTTCATGTTAGCTAACAGTGCATTGACTAATGTTAACAGATACAACTTTTGACCTTTATGACCTTAGTAAATTTTGAACTAAGATGAATAAATTCTTTAAATGTATTGTTCATTGCTAGTTCATGTTAACTAATGTAGTTAATAGCA